GGATTTAGTATGAAGTCTCTGCAGGTTCAGCTCGGTTAAACTGGTAATTCCTTATATAGGTTCAGATCGATCGAACTGGTAATTTCTTATGAACCTAAGGTGACTCTTGGGTGGCTCATGAGCCTAGTGGTAAGACCTTTATAGACCCTAATTTACTCACTTAGGGTAACACCTCTGCTATGTGCATTGGGTAAGTTCTTATGGGTATGAGGGCACTCCCATCATGTGGGCACCTACGCTTCGACTAGGGTAAGACCTTATGAACCCAATGTGCTCCCTTAGGTTGGCACCTACGCCCTTTGGGCATAGGGTAAGTCCTTATGGATATAGTTCTGAGGAACTACATATGGTGTTCGGTTGGAGGATCGACACATTAGTACAATGATATTTTGTTGTAATGTATTTATCTTTTGAATTGCATTTATTTTGCGTGCACATGTGCTAATATTTTGAAAATGTTGATTTTATGATTTATATTGCATTCGATACTATTGTTGGAATATTTTATTTTTATTAAGCTCTTACGATGAATTTTATTTACTAAAATTGAATTTTTATATTATCAAATCTACTTTTATAGATGTTTATTCGGAATACGATTTTAAATTATTGAAAATGTTTTAGAATATTTTATCATTGTCTGCTAGATCTGGTCGTAACGCATACGCCGGATCTAGAGGTTACATGGTGCGTATCCAAATATGTTGGTACATGTTCAGACAATGATGTACTTTTATTTGAAGCATGATTTAATAATAAAAATGACTTGCACCGTGTATTTTTTATGTTGGGGTACACCTAAATGAAAATTGCCAGAATTCAGTAAATATTTTTGGTACCAGTACCTAGCCTAGAATATCCCCACTCCTGACCAAATTTCACTATTTTTCCCCAATAAATGACTAATTGAATGAACATTCAAAAGTTTTAAATAGTTTGTAAATTTATCATGCTCCTGATTGATTTTTTTTTTCAAGAAGAACTATCATATGAATATTCAAAAGTTTTAATTAGTTTGCAAATCAATCCTTGTATTTTTAAAATGCTTGATTTATATAATATATGGATTCGATTAAATACGTTCATATATACGAATGTGATATATATTTCTTGTTCTATCATGTGTCCGGTTTAAATAAAGAGTGTTACAATACTAACAAGTATCGGGTATAGTGGTAAAGGGTAATTTTTTTTTATTAAATTGTGGTAAATATAATATAGTATTTGTTCAAAGATAACTCTCATCTATTTAATATTAAATGTTTATTCATTCGGTATTTTTTATGTTCAAACTTGAAATCTCAAGAAATAGTAATAATTTTTTTTTACTATCGAGGTTGCTAGATTTGTACAACAATATTTTTTAAAGCAACAATCTTAAGCCTTGAACATAAACCATAGAAAAATATATGGACATATAAGAGAATTAATGATATCTTTATTTGAATTCAAATGTAAGGGCGTGTTTGTTTGCCGTAATTGGAATTACAGAATTGGTTTTCCTTGAATTCCCGTATTTGTTTCACGTAATTCGTTTTCCGGAAAATATTTTTCCGTGTTTGTTTTACGTAATTTGTTTTCCGAAAAATATTTTCCCGTGTTTGTTTCACGTAATTAATTTTCCAGAATGTAATTCATTTTCCTAGTAACATAATTTCTTTTGTGTTTTCTGTAAAATGACTTACAGATTCATTATCCGTAAGTCATTTTCCGAACTTTTCACTTTAAAGAATAAATACTCAAAATAATTTTATTTTATGAATTTAACATTAATAAAATATTTTAATATCATTTTCATCAAAATATTATTTATTTATTTATTAATATTTATAATAATAATATAATATTATATTTTTAATATTATATAAAATAATCAATTATAATTTAATAATATAAGATATTATATTTTTATTTTAATAATATATAATAAAAATATTTATATATTTAATAATGAATAATATTATTTATATATTTAAATAATATTTTAATAAAGATATTTAAAATATACTAATTAATATTTTTAAAATATAATATAACACTATTACTTTAATAAATAATTAATATAATTTATAATATTTTATTTCACTAAAATATACAAAAATTATTATTTTTATTAATAAAATTATAAAAATCATATTTAATAATAAATAAATTATTTTAATATTTTAAAATAATAATATTAAGTTTTATGATAAATAATATTATTTATTATATTTAATATTTGTAATAAATAATTTTAAAAAAAACTCTTCAACCAGTGGAAAAAAATGTTTAAATAACATATTCCAAATATCATAAAACGTTTTCCAGATTTTTTCAGAAAAATGTAATTCATTTTACGGAAAACATTTTTCGGAAAACGTTTTCCAGAAATGTAATTCATTTTCCAGAATTCAAATTCCAGTAATTCATTTTCCAGTTCCAGTAATTCATTTTTCAGAAAACCAATTACAACCAAACAAACAGACTCTAACTCTAACAATAAAGTGAGAATAGAAAATGATGATTAAGCATATTAAATGAAATTGTATATATAAAATAATTTATAAATTATAATTATATAAAATGTTTATATTAAATAATAATGTATAATATATATTTTATTTATATAAAAAATAAATAATAAAATAAAAGTTAAAGAGCAAAAGAGAAACAACCCATTTCTGGGGTTTCGATGCTCTGATTTGATTTGATTGATTTAGCCCTTTTCCGAGGACATGACTTCTGATAGGAAAGTATAGAGACTTAAGACTAGGGTAGTCGAGTAGTGTGGGTCACATCTTTAGAGTGTATCATCTCTGTCTTCTTTTAATGCCTTTGTAGTAATTTCCATGACTTTTACTTTTTATACGTTTTTGTTATTGGTATTTATGAAGGTTTAGAACTGGGGCTTGCTACCGTTGACTTCTGTGTACCATTCTCTTCACTTTTAAATTTAGCCGGGTCTTACGTTTCTGTCTATATGCAGAGATTTTTTCGCAGGGATTTATTGGCAGGGATTACTTCTCATTACAGACTCGCAGGTGTTATTAATGATATTAATGACTGCATATGAATACTATTCAACTATGTATTTATGTATTTATTTATACATACATTGCATTTTATCTATATTTTTAATTCTCTAACTGCCGGAGGTCTTTCACGGAAGTTACTCTCAACCTGGCGTTAGGGGCAGCCAACTACCTTACCTCCCCCTTATCCCATTGCATATGGGAATTGTGTTTTGTTGTTGTTGTTGTTGTTTGTTTATTTTATTTTTAAAATTATTATTATTATTTTTAATTTTATCAAATTTACCGATTTGACATTATTTTTTTGACAACACTTTTGACTAAAACAATTTCGTTTAAAACGTTAAACTAATATTTTATCTTCTCAAAAATACTTTTAAATAAATATCAAAATACTAAAATCTTAAACTTAATTTTTTAAAATCACTTTTAAAAATACTTTATCACATCACTCTCTCATAACACTTCTCAAAAACAACGTCAAACTAAATTTTACTGTGCACTCAAAATTATTAAAAAAATTACTCAAAAATAGCATTTTCGCTATTATTAGCATATAATATGAACGAACCTACGTTGTTGGTGCCCCAAACTTTAATGGTTCCGTTGTTTCTATAATTCATAATTATTTTAAGACGCTTCCAATTTTAAAATAGAATTTTCGTAATTATTAGTTAATATTTTTGAAATTATTATAATTAATTATTTGTCTCTCTTAAAAATTGTTGAATAATTTATTTTAAGACCCTTTCAATTTTAAAATGAATTCATTTATTGACTTTTATAAGATCATTTAATTTTGAAATTAGTGAAATAAAATTATAATTCTTTTAAATTTTGTGTTCATTAAATTTTAAAAATATTATTTATTTCCAAGTTAAAAAACTAGTCAGCCCTTTGGACCTTTGGATGATGTCACTCGAACAAGTTTTATGTGAGTATATCGGATAACATTTGGACTTTGTGATTTGGAAGATTTGAGATTATTTTCCAACTGGAACAAGCTTTGCATCACTTAGCAATTGTGTGGTCGTAAGATCCTACGAAAGCTTAGAGGACTATTTAGACAGAATACTGTAGAGCCTTAGGACCACTCTCCATAATGTTCCATTAATGGTTAGGGTATTCAAATTTTCGAACTAATTCGGTTAATCGATCGAATCGAATTAGTTCGGTTAATTCGATCGGTCATCGAATTAGTTCGGTCGATTAACGGTTAAGAAAAATTTTAGAATTCGGCTAACGGTTAATTCGATTCGAAATCGATTAATTAACCGAATTAACCGAAATTAAATTTTTAATATTAAATATATAATATATAACATATGTGTTTAGCCCAAATAATTTAAAACTCAATTAATAATTTAAGATTCAATAACTTTTAAACCTAAATCAATATTAATTAATTAAAAAAATTAAATAAATTGTTATTTTATAATTATATATTATTTAAATTAATTATAAAATGTTTTTTTGAATTAAAAAAAATATTATATATATTATATATAACATATGGGCTAAGCCAAAACTATTTAAAACCCAATTAATAATTTAAGATCCAATAACTTTTACAATTAAATCAATATTAATTAATTAAAATTTTATATAAAATTTTTATTTTATAATTATATATTATTTAAATTAATTATAAAATATTTTTTTGAATTAAAAAATATTTAATTTTTATATAAATTCGAAATTCTAAAAATTTCGGTTAATTCGAAAATTAACCGAAATTTATTCGGTTCGGTTAATATTTTCGAAAAAAATTCGATTCGATTAACGGTTAAAGAAAAAAAAAATTCGATTAATTCAGTTAATGATAGTTCGATCGGTTCGGTTACCGAATTAACCGAATGAACATCCCTATTAATGGCTATTTAGACATCTAATCTGGTTCTATATCTCGCCAACTCTCATTAGTTTTTGTGTATAAAAGCAGCTGCGTATTTCATTGTGTACTCCATCTCTCCAATCTAGTTTAGATAATTCATGTCAGCTGCTCAAACAAAAATGGCTACACGATCCTGCTTGTCCGCCTTCCTGCTGCTACTTGTGGCATTGGAATTCAATATCGTTATGGGAGTTACTCTTCCTCAGTGCAGACCAATTGTGGCTACCGACACTGACCTAATTCAATTCGCTTTAAACTTGGAATTCCTGGAAGCAGAGTTTTTCCTGTTCGGTGCGCTTGGTAGGGGGCTGGATGACTTTGCACCTTCTTTGGCGCAGGGCGGTCCTCCTCCGGTGGGCGGTAGAATTGCCGATCTAGACCCATTGATCCGTAGGATTATCCAGGAATTTGGTTATCAGGAAATTGGACATATCAGGTTCTCTTTCACCCATATCTGCAGTCGATAGGAATTCATTATTAAAGCATTAATCAAATGTCCAAATAACTTGCAGGGCGATCACACAATCCGTAGGAGGAATTCCAAGGCCACAACTGAATCTAAGTGACGAGAGTTTTGCTGCAATCATGAACCGAGCAATGAATACCACACTCAATCCTCCATTCAATCCGTACGCCAACTCGATCAACTATCTCTTAGCATCATATGTTATCCCTTACGTGGGACTCGTAGGCTATGTCGGCACTATTCCGGACCTCACCAGAAGAACCAGCCGATCCGTAAGTACCCTAATTTCTCTATAGAAAAACTATACATACAAACATATTCTATCCTAATTCCTAATATATATATATATAACTTGCTGGTTTAGCTGGTTGCATCTCTGTTGGGAGTGGAGGCCGGACAAGACGCGGTGATACGAGGACTACTCTACGAGAGGGCGAATGAGACAGTGAGGCCATATGGGATGACGGTGGCGGATTTTACCAATCGTATCTCGGAACTTAGGAACCGGCTTGGCATGTGTGGGGTGAAAGACGAAGGTTTGATAGTACCGGTGCAACTTGGAGCGGAGAATCGAACAACCAGTAACATCCTATCGGCGGATGCTAATTCCCTTTCGTATTCACGGACACCACCGGAAATTCTGAGGATAATATATGGAACCGGCAGCGAGCGTAGCCCTGGTGGCTTTTTTCCAAATGGTGGATCTGGGAAAATCGCCATGCGATTGCTTCGCTAGCTGAATCAAGCGGTGACATATCTATATCTATTTATCGATATGAATAAAACAGGGTTTTATATAATACAGAGGAATGATTTACGAAAAAATCCAGGTGGTTTTTGGTGGAAACCATGATTTTATATATGGCTGATGTAGTTGAAGTGTACACTTATCTCATTTCCAAAATTATAATGATAAAAGTATAATTGAGATATTAAGTATTTTGAGTTAAACTTTTCTTTTAGCCCTATTGCTTTTGTATGTTATAAATGCAAGTAAAGGATTAATTGATCATCAAGATTTATTAAGTACGAAGGGTTAGGTCTCGTTTAAATTTTAAAAGATAAATACGTTATTGTGCTCGTGTTTATGTGTCTTTAACACGTATTTTATATATTCTTTTAATAAAATTTTTATATATTTTTATATTTTAACTTTCTTTTCTTTTCTAATTTAACCGGTTGTGCTTATATTGCGGTCATATAAATAGAAAACACAACGTACAAGAGATATTTTTTAATACGCTTTTCACATAATACATTTGTAGTCTATGTTTAAAAGACTCTCAAATATTTTAACAAATAATATTTAAATATCCCTACTGAAGATGTGTTTGAACTTGACATCTCCAAGAATAGCAATCACTACTTTAATCAATTGATTCGTTCTATTTTAACTTATGTTAATATAACATTAATATGATTTTTTTTTACTTTTAGGTTTTTTTTTCATTGATAGTTTATGTGTTATTTTTAATATTGTTGTTAACTTTTATAAAGAAAATGATATTTACATCGCTGATGAGAAAAAAAATGTAATGATGTAAAAAATAAAAAAAAAATCATATCAATGTCACAATAACATTATTGTAAATGTTTATCGATTTTTTTATTAAACTAGTGATATTTGTTAAAAGAATTAATTCCATGTTAAAATAAAAAATAAAAAATTGATGATTATTTAGCATGAATCAAGATATTTCAGCAGTTAAAGAAATGATTATTATTTTTAAAGATCTCAAATTCGAACATCAAAAAATATAAAGTATTTAAAGTTTATTGTGAAATAATTAAGAGTACTTAATCAGATACAATCACTTATAAATATTCTAGATTAATAAAAAAACATGACTATTTACACAGTTATCTTATTATTTAAGAAACGGGAGAAAATAGAAGTGGTCAAATTACGGCGGATACAAAATACACGACTACAGAGATAATGTGATAAATGTAGATTTTTCGTAACTTGAAAATTATAAAGATTTAAGGTGAAAAATAAGACTTTGTAATGATTTTTCCAGTTAACTTAAAAAATACTTAAAAGACTTTATAGTAAATATATGTCATATTCAAAAAAGTAGTCGTACGCATTAATTGTATTAAATCTAGAATTTCTTAGTTGTAATGACAAAATAAATTTGATAAAATTTCTTTAATTTTTTTCCTCTTCTTTTATAATTCAACTTACAGTAATTTAAGACTTGTTGAGCGGTCCTAATACAAACGAAATCATTGTTGTAATTAAAAGTCTCGAGTTCGTGCAACAATGTTCGTAAGATATGTATTTTATCGATAGTTATAAAACATTAAATATATATTATTTTGTAATTGTAGACACCTATTTTTGTCAGGATCTTTTCTATTTAATTTTAATCTTATTATTATTATTATTATTATTAATGTTATTATTATTATTATTATTTTGTTTATTAATTATTATTATTATTATTATTAATTACATATTACAACATTTTGCAGGCCAATCCCGAGGCCCAAACCAGAAGCCCACTGGAACCCAAATCACAGGCCCAATCCCGGAGCCCAATTACAACATCCAGCTTAACCCGACCCAGTACCAAGCCCAAACAAAGGACCCAACTCAGCTAGGGTTTCACCCTTTTCTCCTTAGCCGCCTTTAACCCCAGCCGTTAGATCTGGAGGAAGATCAACGGCCCAGATCATCCCAGATTAGGGTTTTTTTAACCCTAATATGTCAACACCAGTTGCCACCAGCTTAGCCACCAACGCCAGCTCAGCCGCCGCCACTCAAGCCAAACCTCTCCATCGTCGACCGCCTCTGACGCCGCCGTCGACAGTTCTGACCGAATAGTGACATAACAAGCACCAATCAGTCACAGAGCAAAACAAGTCAATTCGAAATCATAAAAACCCAATAAATAATGAAAAAATCTAAATGATATCCTAAATTACATATAGCCTCTGTTGACCCTATGTTATCTGGGAACAAAACCATCAATCGTGCATCAACATAAAAGAGAAAAGCAACGATAGAAGGAGCATTAGGGGGGTTTTAAGAAAAAACAGAAAATAGGGAGAAAAGAGGGGGACCATTCGCTTTTTCCAGGAAAAATAGGAAAGAAAGAAAAAACCATCGAAAAAAGGAAAACCACTCACCTTTCGTCGAGAGTCGATCGTCGGTAGCCTCGCCGGAGCTGGAAACCCACCTAAGGTAAAGCTTTTGTTTTGGTCTTGAGGGTTTGTTTTTGGGTAGGATAAGCTTTGGGTTTGGGGTTCTAAGAGTCGAGTTTTTGAAAGAAGAAAGATAGGGGAAAGAAATAAGGGTTGGGGGCGGTTCAACTTCCCCTAGTGGTCACCTCGACGTGTGGTGGCCTGGGCTTTTCGGGTTCTCCCCACGGCAAAGGAGTAAGGAGAAAGGGGAGCCTCGTTTTTTTTCTGGTCTCGGTGAGGGAGAAGGGAAATTGAGAGAGAAATGAAAGGGAGGCTGAGGAATGGGTTACAAATGATTTTTAGGGTTTTAAAATAACCCATTTTCCTATTAGAGCCAAAACCATGCATATAGTGAACCGTAGAACGGTCACCCTGGGTATAGTCATACCGAACCTCTGTCCGTCAGTAGGTACCTAAAATAGGTGTACACAAAGGAGGAGCGTTTCTGAACCTTTCCTTTTTTTCTTTAAATTTTGTTGAATAAAAACATGTGAATTAGATATCATGCGGTTATGATAATTTCTTTGAAATTATACATTTTTGGGTAGATAACATGTATGGGTAGGATTATTATCTATTTAAAGCATGCTCGGGTAGATAACATGTCGGGTAGGTGTTATATTTATTTTTTGAATAACATTTTTTTCTATATCAATTATTTACCAGTACTAATTAATTTCTTTTCTTTTGTTTGTGTACACTAACTTGTTTTTTTCTTTTGTTTGTGTCATTTTGTCATCATTCTTTACATTTGCATTACATCGTCATGACATAATGCGAAAATGTTAATCCACAAAGGGATATTCAAGAGAAAATTTTCACAAGGAGTGATAAAAATTTTCAATCAAGCAGTCACGTATACAGACATGCATCAAGGGTTGAAAGAAATTCATAGTACAAGAAGGAGACTTGCTCGAGGATCGTGCAATATTCAAGAATGAAATGATGATCCATTGATTCGAGGAGTAATCCAGCAGTGGAGTCTTATCTACAATCATGTCATCTCTAGTCATCAAGGATCAACGCACTGGCTTCAGCACCGTCGAAGCATTAACGGAGTTAGTTTACAGAGCATTGAGGGGCATCAGTTCCAAATACAAAGATCAGAGATGAAGCAGTGAGCTCAAAGATCGTGCAACATTTGAGACAGGAAAGATGGTCAACTGATCCGAAGAGTAATCCAACAGTAGATTCTCATCTATAATTATTTCATCGCTAGCCATTAAAGAGCGATGCACTAACTTCAATACCGTAGGGGCATAAACTGAGTTAGATTACAGAGCATTGAGGGATATCATTTTTTAGGACGAAGATCTGAGACGAAGCACTGATCCACTTCAAACTCAACATCTAAGTGAAGGCATGTATGTGAAGTGGACTGTCTTGTAATGTGAAGGTTTTTATTTCTGGTGAAAATTATTCTACGATATTCATCGTTGGGATCAACATTTTTTGCATTTGCATTTGCATCATTGCATTCTGCATAACATTCATTTAAGTGTTTTTACACGCATTAACCATATCTTATGGGGACTTTGAGGAAGTGCTTCTAACTGTGCAAGTGCATTCACACAGTACTGAGAATGGATGCAAAATTCAAGCAACTGAAGAAAGAGTTGGAAGAGAGTTTGCAAAAGATTCAAGCAGAGTGGGAAGTTAAAATGGAGCAGGCACAAAAGGCCACCATGGATCGTATCTTGCAAAATCAAAGCGACCTAATGGATCAAATGGTAGAAAAATTGGCTGGTCTCAACCAAGAAAGAGGCAAATAGAAGATTTCCTCGACTGAAGGAACCTCCGAATGTTTGATAGCCCATGCTAGTCCCCAAATAATTATTTCACCCCACAAGCTTCCAAGCCGCCAAGTAAGCTTCTCAGCCACTAAAGCTTGTACAAATGTGATAAATCCTCAGGGTAATTCTACTAATCACAACATGCCAAATCCTGATAAGTCGAAAAGAGTCAATAACAAGATCCAGAGAATATGAAACAGTGGTGCAGAGAGACATTTAATGGAATGAGAGGACAGAGCTCTCACTACAGAATGAATGCAACAGAATTAGTACTAGTTCCTCACTTGGTACTTCCGCTCAAATTCAAGATGCCCGATTTTGAAAAATACAGTGGAACCATTTGCCCTAATGCTCATCTCACGATGTTTATTCGAAGAATGACTGGGTACATAAACAATGATCAGATGTTGATCCACTGCTTCCAAGCCAGTTTAATTGGACCCGCTTCAAGGTAGTAGAATCAACTGAGTCGTACTCAAATCCGCTCTTGGAAGGATTTGGCTAGTGCATTTCTGAGTCAATACAAGCACATGATCGATATAGCCCCTGATCAAACAACGCTACAGAATATGGAGATGAAGAATGGTGAGAACTTTCAACAATATGCTCAACGATGGAGGGATGTCGCATCTCAAGTACATTCACCAATGACTGAAAGAGAAATCATCACTCTATTCATTGATATGTTGAAGTCTCCATATATCGACTACATGATAGGAGCTACCACCAAGAGTTTCTCTAACATCGTCATGTGTGGAGAAATGATCGAAAGAGCAATCAAGAATGGCCAGATATGAGGCACTAGTCATACCGATAATGAGGAAAGAGCTGAGATTAACATTGAGGGATCTTATCTAGCTAGTCTAGGGATCAAACCTCATAAGACATTCTATA